TGTGTTCATACCGGAAGCTGGCTACCCCCAATGCCACGACCTCCAACATGGTCATGATATGTCATGATGCGACGAACATGTATCTGCTATACTGGAGCACTGGAGCCCACCTTGCCTGTGAAGTTTTCAGCTCTCTTCTTCACCTTTCCGATGCAAAGCTTGGGCTTGGCACTCCCAGCCGCGCGTTGCAGAAAGTTACGGGCTTGGGTTGAGAGCCCACCTTTGGCTGGTCACTTTTCATACAGGAACTTTGAGCTTCAGGTATGGGAACGATAGGCACTTGGGAGAGCTGCTGCGGCCGTTTCATGACAAGGCGTTTCTCTGCTCGGTCTGGGATCTAGAATCTAGAGTTTCCAAATCTTTGCGGAGGTAAGCATTTCAAATTTGGGACCATCCCAAGTGCATTTGAGTTGGGTGGTCAAGGTCCGGGGCAGCGATGGGTACTCGTCATTTGTTTGGCGATGCATTTGCTGGAAGTAGAGTTCCTTTGCATGCGGGCAACCACTGATGGAGTCCTGTCAGGACGGCTTCAGCAAGGCCTGGCACAAATTTGCGGATCTGTACTTGGGATCTTGCAGTGGGGATCGGAGGAAGCTGGAGAACGTAAGTAAGGGGATCCTTTCTTGGATGAAGACTCTCTTTCTGGGATTTTGAATTAAATCCGCCTAAAACTACCACCCAGTATACCTTTGTAACCCTTTTTAAATTACCCAGCAACTACCATGTGGAAATGTCCAAGTGGAATCGCCCGTGCATCAAGTTCAACCATAGAGGTCCTGGCAGACGAGGGAAGGAAGCCTCAAGGAGATGAGGCAAGCAAGGATTTGGGATAGCTTTGCTGGGGGAATCATAGTAACAGTAATACTACAAATAATAGTAATAATTAATAGTAATAATAGTAATAATAATCATCATGTTAGTACTAGTAACAATCATAGCAATAAGACTAGTATTAGTTGCATATTGGAATACCTAGACCAACCGAATACACAAAGTAGTGGCTGTTCGCCACAATCTGTTGGGTGTAAAGACTAATCTTGTGAACATTTGGGGGGCCCAGGTAAAAGCTATATGAGCTGCCGCATTTATCTATGTAAGACAAAGGAAGACTAGCCGCGTCGGTATTTTTGTTGTAAAGCCAGCGTTCTAAGGGGAACTAGATAGGGACCACGGATCGAACGGGATAGGTCGAATTCCCATTATGAGTCAGAGCTATGCTTATGTTCCACCATTCTGAACGAGATCGCAGCATTTCAAGACATCAAGGAAATCACCTCCGTTCTAAGGGGGAAGAGATCAGGGGACACGGATTAAAAATAGAGTC